CTTTCCCTTTGCCACCAGGCCACTCTCTCCCTTGTATTTCTTCCCATCTTTCTGAAATCCATTTATTTATTTCCTCTTCCTCAATTACAGTGCCCCTCAAAGATTATGCCCTGGTCTTATTTTCTTCTTCTGCAAAGACTCCCCCGTTTCCCAGCCTCACTGGTCCTTTTATAAATGAATTGTATCTCTACAGTTCTAGGCCTGATTTTCATCTAGCCCTAGGCTCCAGTCCCATGTTTCCTGTTTTTGTTTGTTTGTTTGTTTAATACAGAGACCCTCTGCCTATCCCAGGATGACCTTGAACTCATGATCCTCCTACCTCTGTCTCCCAAGAGCTGGGATTATGGGCATATGTCAACACACCCAAATTAACCTCATCTTTCTAACCATTTTTAATCCCCCATCCAGATGTCCCATGGTCTGTGGCACTCAAAATGACTCAAATTGAATTTTGTGTGTGTATAACAGGGTCTCATTCCTGGCTGGACTGGAACTCACTAGGAAGACCAAGCTGGTCTCGAACTCACAGAGACCCACCTGCCACTGTCTCCTGAGTGCTAGAATTAAAGTCATGTATCACCACACTCAGTCAAACTGAACATTTAGGATGTGTCTCTCTTACATAGCAATGTCTTTTTCTAACATTTCCTCCAGTGACCTAAAGGAAGCCTGTCATGGCTTCCTGCAGCCTGCTCAGGTAGAGAAATCTGGCCTTTTGGACCCTAAGTCTGTTAGAGTTGCCTCTTCTTCCTACTCACAAGTTGGCTGGGGTCTATACTCTCTGACTTACACTCCTGATGAGGCTGACTGATCAGTTTCCACCAGTCCTACTCCTTCCAGTCAGCATTACCATTTTCTCAGAGTTCTCCATGTTCCACTGTCCACAGAACACACCTCCTCCTCAGCCCCCACTCAAGGCCATCCACACTTGACCGCACAAAGCTGGCTCATCCTCTTCCGTTTACATACATTCCCTTCCTGCTGTCCTCTCATGTCTAAGCCCTGCTTTCCTCAAGATCCAGCTTCGTCTTCCCTGATTTAAAAAAATACTCCTCGGGTCAGCAAACGGCTTAGCCGGTAAGGGTGCTTGCTGCAGAGCCTGATGACCTTAACTCGATAGCCAAGACACCCAAAAATCGTCCTCTGACCACTACACACATGCTGTGGCACATGTATGTCCCTCCCTAATTAATAAATCTGAATTTTATTTTTCCATAAGAAAAATGTTTTTCAGTCAGTTCAACTCAATAACCCTACTTCAGCTTTTCACATTCTCAAATCTCCATTATGACAGTGTCTTATCAGCCCTGTGAAGAGGAAGCTGTCTTTTCCTTTCCTTCTAGACTAAAGGCATGCCAAAATGTCTTCTAGATTCCTTCAGTATCATACTTTAAAAAGCAGCAGGCACAATAAATATAGGATGACTTCATAAAATAATGAAATATTGCAAGTTGTGGCTTCAGATACTTGAGCAACATTACACGACAGGCTTAAACTTGGATTAGGAGTAGAGTATGTGCCCATCCCCACAGCAACAGACCCTGCTCTGTACAGCACACTCTCCCAGCTGTCACCTTCATTCCAACCAGGATGCATAGCAACCAGCCTCGTCACCCTCTTGGGCCAAGGGGACAACAGAAGCAGGAATCCTGTCCTCCTTTGTGTTCACAGGAGTTGGGTCCTTCTCAGCCTACACTCACAAGTAGGCACCAAATGACCAGCTGGTGGCAAATGGCCTTCTCTTCACCTCCCTCAGGAGATAAGTGGACAAAAGCACAGGGAAAGAAGGAAGAGACCTGAACCCCAGTTCTGCCCACCATGAACGAGCTGTCTCATATATGGGACAAAACCAGAATTTCTCAAACTATGACTCCCCATGACACTAGGAAAGGTGTCACTGTTTCAAAGGGATGAATCCACAAGCAAATCCTGGCATATCACTTCACAGACTCCATATGGAAAATGGGAAGACAAGATGCGCTTGGGTTTGTCCAGTTTTCACAAGCTAAGATCCTGGGACATCGCTTTGGGAGATAAAAAGACCTCTGAGGTCAACTTTCTCTCCAAGAATCCTAAATTCACTCCTCTTAAAGCCTCCTAACAGAAGACAACAGCAACTGAACTTCCCTGTAAAAGGCACAGAAAGGAAGTTTCCTAGTCTAGTGGAGGTGGTGCCCGCCTTTAATCCCAGAACTCAGGAGGCAGAGGCAGGTGGATCTCTGTGAGTTTGAGGCCAGCCTGGTCTACAAAGTGAGTACAGGACAGACTCCAAAGCTACACAGAGAAACCCTGTCTCAAAACCCAAAAAGAAAGGAAGGAAGACAGGAAGGTTGGGAGGGAGGGAGGGAGGGAGGGAGGGAGGGAGGGAGGAAGGAAGGAAGGAAGGAAGGAAGGAAGGAAGGAAGGAAGGAAGGAAGGAAATTTCTTCCTGGATATACCAACCTTATAGGAGTGACAGCCTCAAGGAGTGATATGGACACATTGCCCTAGGCTTGTAGTCAGGAACCCCCAGCATGCACCAACCCCTTACCATTGGGATGGCAGAGGGGGCCAGAGAAGAGTCAAAAATCTGCAAACCAGGGCTGAGATGGATATGGGAGTGGGGAATGAATGGACACAAAAATCCCTGATAAGGAACAGGATCAGCCTTTAGCAATCGCACCAATGGCTCTGCCCCTAACAAATGCTTTCTTAGCATCACCTCCTCACCTACCCTCCAGGGAGTCAAAGGATCCAAAGCAACTTTCTCAGGAACTTCCTGGTGGCCTCATCCCCTGCCCCTTCTCACATCCACCCATGGGAGCTGACAGAGGAAAGCAGGCAGGGCAGGAAGACAATTCCCCAGCCGAGTGCTAACAGCACTGACACATTATGTGCCTCTGTCGCTGACTGAAAAGGCCCCTTCACTTCTCTGGGGTTTCCTCTCCTTCGCTGTCCAAAGAAAGCATTGACTAAATCATCTCTGGGGTTCTTGAGGTCCCGCAGGAGCCATTTGTGCAGGGGGCATACCTGCCGGGTGCACAGGCCAGAGAAAGCACTCAGGTAATTATAGAGAACTCAGGGCGGCAGAACAAGCATGGCCAAAGGTATCTGATGACAGGAGCTCACGGCTGCTCCAAGTCCTGGTGTAGGTACTTGTGACTAATGGCTAGAGAACAGTGGTGCTGGGTCTCCTAATGGGAAGAAGAGGCAACAATGGGGCTTCAAAGTCAACTACCCAGTCTAGAGGAAACATGAGAGCAATGGGGGGGGGGGAGTAAAACAGATAGTGTTCCAGGGTTCCTATCCTTGGAAATGGTGACAGGGCTAGAGAAGACACCTGCTTCTTCCAGCCCCAGGGCAGAGCAAAATGGGAGGTAAATGACAGGAGAAAGAGTGGGGAGGAGTTCATGTACAAAGACATGATCTGACCAGGATGGCAAAGTCTGGGGGAAAATCAATCACTAGGGAAACCTCTGGTGTCTTGTAACCTCCTACTAAGTTCAAGCAGCAGTCACCTTATGGTATACAATCTACATCTGGACAGAGCAGTGGTCACTGAGCTGGAAGGAGCAGGCAGGGAATCTACACTCTAATGGACAGGTTCACACTGCTGGGTGCAGGAAAGTAGCAGCCTGGAGAAACCTTCACACAAAGCACATGCCTCTTTTCCACACAGCAAGAGCTCTGAGCAGAGCTTTTGGAATACTCTGGATATCCAGTTCCCTCTATATGAAGAAAAAATAAAAGATGCCCCTAAAAGGACAGAAATTCCTGGGACTGTGCTGTGTGGAAGCTTCAAGGTGGCAGCTGGGGCTGTACCCAGCAGAGGAGGGGCAGGGAAGGGGAAGAGGGTGGCAGTGGCTTTGGGCTCAGGATCCAATTACAGGACTGTTTCCATACTTAGCCACCTGACAGCCGCTTGGAACACTCACCACTCCAGCCACCACAGCCCCACAGACCAAATTAACTCAAGGGCAGACAAGGGCAGGGCCCAGCAGCAAGCTCAATGGCCCGAGGCCCCCAGCCTTATCTCTTGCACCCCCAAAGAATGGCTTTTGTTCCTCCTACTGCGTGTTCTCTCACTAGGACTGTATCTCTGTAGCTCCAGTCTCATGAGACAGAACCTTAAAGATCTGAGACCAGACCCGCAAACCTCACAATCTCATGCAGAGACTAAGTGCTAGTGCAGGAGACAAACCAGGGTGTCCTGGATCCTGGGGGAACCTCAGAGCACCTCCCCCAGAAAATCTCCAAGGAGAAGCCAGCCTTGGGAGTCTTAAGAACTAGAGAGGTGGCAAAATGATCGGGTATCCCCTCCACAGCCTATAAATAACCCCCATGCTGCAACCCAAGCCACCGCCTCTGTCACACGAGAGATGTGTGACACATGGTGAGATGTCAAAGGAAAGCCACAATGCAGAGCAGAGCCCCCTTCTTGATGAAAGACCCTGCCCCTCACAGAGGCTTCTTCTGTCCCTCTCCGCATTCTGTCAAATTGCTCCCAACACAATCACCAATTCTCAACTTTCTGTCCAATTCTGCCCTATCCTGACTCCAATTCTGTCCCACCGTTCATAAAATGATTCCCAGCTTTGCCTACAGTGTCCCATTCTGCCCATGGACATGCAAACCTAAGTCACTAGCTAGAGCAGAGAACAGAGTCCCATCTCCCACCAAAAGGGTAGCTCAGAACGTCCAGGTGTAAGATTATGTTCTTTTTGTTCATCTCAAAGATCCCTCTAGGTATGACTTTGAGGGTCCGCTTTCCAGCATGTTCCAGCCAGACTACTTTCTCTCAACCTGGGCCAGACCTCAGAGCCATCTGCTCTCACTTCTTCTTAGAACCCCTAACAGGCCTCAGTTCTCTCCAGCACCTCATCCTCTGTGTCCCAGGCCCGTATGAGAAGGACAATGATACCAGTAAGAAGCGAAGTTCTGCCATCAGCCCAGCCCCTTATACCAATAAAAACTTGGGGACACCAGGGTCCCCGCAGGAGCCATTTGTGCAGAGGACATACCTGCTTGTCCTGAAAGCAGCAGCGAGGCCAGGCAGCAGCAGAGCAGGAGCAGCGCCCTCATGGTGACTGCCAAGAGAGCCCAGCTGCTCCTCGTCTCTATTTATATGGCGGGTGCCACAGCGGGCAGTGGAGGGCGGGGAGGAGGGTCACACAGTCACTAGGGCAACTGGGCAAACATGATGAGGAAGAAGCCCAGACCCCCAGGGCTACTGCAGTTGTTGCCTTAGCCTCAAGCACCAGAAGCCAGAGCCCGGTACTGGCCTCTCCCCACAGGTCCTGGATCGTTTGGTTCCCGGTAGGGGCTAAGGGGATAAAGTGAGATGACCCCTTGGGCTGAGGGCCAACAGTTAGGAACTTGAGTCTTCCTAGAATATTTGCTGCCTTAACCTAAAGTCTCAGACAGGTCCAGGACCTGGACATTCCTCCAAATGAAGGAACTATCAGCCGAATCGTTTAGATAGTCTGCTCTGCAATCTAGCAAATAGGAAAACCCTCAGCATCTGACCTTTGAGGTCGATGACTACAAGCCTATCCCTCCAGGGCCTCTGCACAGAGAATGCTGAGCAGAGGGAAAAGGGGACCCAGAGAAGCGCCTGAGGAATGTGATGTCAGTTGGAGGTGGAGAGACAGATCCATTTCCAGTGGGCAGGGGCTCCAGAATGTTCAGTCACCTCTGCAAAAGCCTATTAGATGCAATCTTCCTCTGGGTTTGTGGGGCCCTGAAAGCCAGTTGTAGGAAGCTGAGAGACAACAAAAGCTGGCTTGTGTGGCTAGGGGAACAGTGTCACCAGGAAAGGAGGAGGTAGCAACTGGCCATGGAGTAAATGAACTAAAAGTAAACTAGGCATTTGTTATGTGCTAGGGACTTTACATCTCTTGAAGTTTGCTTTTATTGTATTGGAAATTGAACACAGGGCTTAGACCATGCCAGAACACTCTATCAGAGAGCCATATTCCTAGCCCTTGTGCTTTACATTTTTAATAAGCTCTACAGACCAGGCTGGCCTCAACTCAAGGGTCCGCCTGCCTCTGTCTCCCGAGTGCTGGGATCAAAGGTGTGTACCACCACACCTAGTACACTACACATATTTAAAGGGCAGAAACTGATAAAATTTGACCTATGTCTGCAATGTCATATATACCAGCACAATTAAGATAATGAGTAGATTTCTCCTCTCACAGTGTGGCAACTTTTAATCTCCTTGCTGTAAATGCAGGTTAGTTTGCATTTCAGGACTGTGGCTGTAAATGAAGTCAATGTTCTATATCTGTTTCTTTCACTTAGCACAATTATTTTGGGAATTATTCACATTGTATCAATAGCTCATTCATTTTTATCAATGAGTGATTTCCCATTGTGTGAACAACCCACAGTTGGTTATTACTCCCCTGCTGATAGACATGTGGGCTGTTTCCAAGATTAGACTATTAAAAATAAAGTTGTCATGAATATTTGTATGCATACCGCTATACAGATAGAAGCTTTCTCTTGGGTTGCTGCCTAAGAGTGAATAGTTGGGTCATATGATATCTGTTTAAACTTTTTCCAAGGTTATTTACTATTTTATGTTCCCAAAAGTGCACTCAAATTTCAGTCCTTTCCCAGCCTAACACTTGATTGCTTGGTGTTTGTGGTCCTGGAAATGGAACGCAAGGCCGTCCATGTGCTAGCCAGGAACTCTGTCACTGAGCCATGCCTTAGCCCCTTACCTCTAGTCATTCTTTAGATTACAGGTGTAGCTCACTGCAGGATTTCATTTTTAAACAATTATTTTTAATGTGTACATGTGTGAGCACTTGACGGGGTGTGTGTGTGTGTGTATGTGTGTGTGTGTATGTGTGTACACATGCCATGGTGTACACAGAGCTCAGACGACAGTTCTCTCCACTACCTGGGTCCTGGGTATTGCACTCAGGTCAACAGGCTTGGTGGCAAATGCCTTTACCTGCTGGGCCTTCTCACCTCATTGCAGTTTTAATTTGTATTTCCCTAATAACTAATATTAATATTTTCACTTATTTACTACCTAATTCTTTGGTATATTTTTATGAAAGGCTTATTTGAATTTTTTGTTCACTTATTATGAGATCTTTTGCTCAGTTTTGACTCATATGTGCTGGATACAAATTCTTTATCAGATATATGCTTGTAAATATTCTTTCCTAGACTTAGATGCCTTTCAAGAAACAGAAGTTAGCAGGACAGTGGTGGTGCATGCCTTTAATCCCAGCACTGGTGAGGCAGAGGCAGGTGGATCTCAGTGAGTTCAAGGCCAGCCTGGTCTTCAAAGTGAGTTCCAGGACTGGACTGTTACATGGAGAAACCTTGTCTCGAAAAACAGAAACAAAAGGAACAAACAAAAAAGAAACAATTCTCAAACTGGTTCGTGGGTGTATCCTTTTAACCCCAGCACTCAGGAGGCAGATCTCTCTGAGTTTGAGCCTACAAAGTGAATTCCAGGACAGCTAGGGTTACAAAGAAAAACCCTGTCTCCAAAAATAAAAACAAGAACAAGAATAGCAAAAAAGCCCCGAAAAACAAAAAACAGTTCTCTTAAAATAACATGGGGCCGGTTGGTGGTAGCACTCAGGAGGTAGAGGCAGGTGAATCTCTGTGAGTTCGAGACCAACCTGATCTACAAGAGCTAGTTCCAGGCCAATCCAAAAACAGGGAAACCCTGTCTCAAAAAACCAATAATAATAATAATAATAATAATAAAATAACATGTAACTAGAAAAAATTTAATATGTTCAAGATACATTAAATGCACAATTGTGACTGTCTACAAATTGATATTTAGTATGTGTTGTATTGTAGGATATGAAGCTACCCCTGGAATGGAATATTAAGCTAGTACACAGTAGAAATGGAGCCCACCTTTTAGAGTCAGAGGGCTATGAGAACTTCATCTTCCAACATTGTCAGTAATTCACTGCACAATTCTAAAAGAACCATATTGTGAATTTCAGGTGAGTCCACTAAATTTTTTAAGTATTCTTGAATTTTAATGGGAATTATAATGAATCTGTAACTCAGCTTGAAGGAAACTAACTAAGTTACTAGCTGTGGTGGTGGATTTTGTTTCCACTTGGCTAGACCATGGTGCCAGTTGCTTGGTCTCACACTAATCTGGATGTTACTGGGAAGGTATTTTTAACATTTGAAGTAAAGATCTTGGGTTGTTGGGAGGGTGGTAGAGTATTGGCTTAGCATGCTGAAAGACCTTGGCTTAATCCCTACCACTAATTTTAAAAAGACAGGGACTGTGATGAAAAGAAGTCTCCTTCGTTAATGTGAACATGCCTCATTTGAGTCAGCTAATGGCCTGAGAAAGAATTATGACTTACCACTGGCTTCAGACCATGATATCTACTCTTGCCGGAATTTTTATCAGCAAATTGTAGGCTAACACTTATTTTTCTTTAACTTGGGTCTGCATGTGTATATCTGTGTGTGTATTCATGTGTATGTACGCATGTATGTGTATGCTGCATGTGCATGTATGCAACATGTGGGTTACCAAGAGACCAGAAGAAGACATTAGATCCTCCAGAGTTGGAATTACAGGAGGCTGTGAACCAAATTTAAGGGTGGGTGCTAGGAGCCAAACTCAGGGCCTCTGGAAAAGCAACAAGCATTCCTAATCACTAAGCCATATCCCCAGCCTCCGTGCTCTCTTTCTAAACCAAGTCTCACAATCGTGTACATAGCTGAGGAATCATTGCAGGAGAGGAGAGAACCGTTGGTCACAGTAAAGAAAAATGCCTTCTCTGTGCTAAGTGTCTTGCATGTAGTGTGAAGCAGGCATATCTTATTGTTAATCCCAAAGACAGGAAGAGAAAGACTACTGACCCAAATCATCAGAGCCAAATTAAAGCAAGCAATTAATCAAAGCAAGCTTTTTCATTCATGTACACAGACTTCCCCCTAAGATGGGGTTCAAGAGGTCAGTACTGGATGTAAGGAAGACAAGGCTTGTATAGCTCAGGGGTAGAAGGGTCTCCAAATGGGGGGTTTGGGGAGAAAAATAGGCCAGGTTATAGGAGCAGTACAAATAAGTTAGTCCTAAAAACCTCCCAAAACAAAGACATGGTTGCAAGGTGGGCATAACAAAGGTAGGTTTGCAAGATGGTTATAAACAACTTTTTGAAAAAAAGACATGATTGTCATTTCTGGAACAGGCAGTACAGAATCATTTGCAGTTAAGGTTACAGGTGGATGCATAGCCCAATCCTTGAGGCTTAATCATAAACAGGAACAAACTTAGTTTGTCTTTACTATAAAATGGCTTTTAAGCCTAAGATGAAGGCACAACGGTTCTTCGCTTGCTATCATACAAGTTCAAGGGTCATGAAAATCAAGCAACTGGTTCAGTAGTATATAGTGTTGTATAATTTTGACCCCTGCTGTCTTACACCTATGACTTCTTCCATCAATCAAAGTGCACACCATCAGAGAAAAAAAAGATTACATCATCATCAAAAAGGAGTTGAGGAATATGGGGAATACAACAAAGACAAAAGTGTCAATGGAAGTCCCAAGAATTGAAATCTAGGCGAGACAAGCAAGATATTGTTTGGAGTATCAAACAGATAATTGTACCCCATGCTCAAAACAGTATGATTCATAATAGCCAAAGCTGGAAACAATCCAGGTATCTCTCAGCAAATGAACAGATAAGCAAAATATAGTTTTGCACACAATGAAATATTACCTAACCACACAAAAAAATGAGACTATAACATATACTTCAACATGTGTCAACCTTTAAGTAACTGGAGTAGAATAAGGATAGTGTACATTATTTTGCTAGGGCTTCTATAAGAAAAAATCGTGCACCACAGAAATTTATGGTCTCATAATTCTGAGGCTGGCAGGCTTTGACTGAAGTATCAGCAGGATTGGTTTCTCCTGGGGTTTTTGTCCTTGGCTTGCAAACTGCGATTTCTCCCCGTGTCCTCACTTGGTCTTCCCTGTGTGTGTATGTGCCTAATCTCTTCTTATGAAGATGCCAGTTAGATTGGATTAGGGCCCACTGCAATGACCTCATTTTACCTTCTCTACTTCTATATCAGCCCT